CGCTGTAGTCATGTTGTCGATCGCGGTGATTGGCAACCTGCGTGCTCCGCGGGAAAGCGAACCCTCAGGTTTTCTGCATAAACAGTGCTGCTATTACTCGAGTAGGTACGGTAGTGGCGGTCTTTCGACTAGAAACGGCTCAGTTTACAACCTCTGAATCCGATGTATTTGCGTGGTTGTAAAGACCAGCTGAATCACAGGTTTAAATGTATAACCTTCGGCGTATGCTTTCATCGGAGTACATGGTATACCAACGCCACGTAAATAGACAACCGTAATGCTGAATGTTTTTTTTTTTTTTTTCTCGTTACGATGATCAGCAGGGGTCACAGATTGGGCACGAGCGCTCTATCAGCCTGCGGCTGGGAGTCGTGTTCTGAATGACGTTAATTCCAGCCGGACGCAGCCATAGCGTGCACTGGCGACCAATATGTGCCCCCGCTTGCCCTCGGTAGGGGACGCACAAAATTCAGCTCCAGGGTTTTCTATCTATGCGTAGAACAAGTCGTCTGCTTCTTGAACAGGAGTGGCGGTGACGTCAGAACGACGCCGAGTTCTGATTGGCTGATCGAAAAAGGATAGTGAGTAGACTTCAATGCTAGATGCCTTGAGGTCTACCCACTATTTTTTTTTTTCAATCAGCCAATAGGAGCTCGGCGTTGTTCTGACGTCACCGCGACTCCTGCGCAAGAAGCAGACGACTTGCTCTACGCAAAAACATCTAACACCTTTAAAAAAAAAAAAAAGCGGATGGCGTGGTGGGTCCCCAGCATCTTATCATCGTTCTGCAACCAATGAGATTGCAGTACTAGAACGCCTAAAAAACGAATAACCGAGCGAGAAAGGTGAGCGTACCAAGCCACGACTTGCGTATTTTGAGCTGTCAGCGACTGTTGGCGTCTGGAACGATTACGGTTGCCCCTGAAATGCGCCGATCAAAAGAGATCGTCTACCCGTCCGCACCAATAGAGAACGCCGTGTCTCGGCAATTCAGCCGGCTGCTTCGGGCACCCCAGATTGAAGGTTGCATTCAAGGGCGCAGCCTTCACCGCGCGGTGTGGAATGTGTTCACGACCGGCTATAGACGCCGCGACTCTCTCCGATGCCGGCAGTGACCCCTAAAGGAACGCCTTTTCTTTACGTGCCCGGCGGTCATCTGCTGGTAAATTCGAGGTTCGCGGGCAGGAAGAAGCCCTTCCGCGTTGCCCATCCGGAAACGGCGGTGCGTGCGCTATGGGCGGCGCGTGGGTGTGTCCGCGAAGAAAGGGAAGCGAAGATGAGAGGCCTCAATTCTCCGGTTGTGCCGACTGGTTCAATAAACGGACGTAGAGTGGCACCGTGGAGACGCCGTGTCCAGCCGCGTCGACACGAGCGCGAACCAGGGGCGGATCCAGAACTCCGTTTTTTTTTGTTTTTTTTGGGGGGGGGGGGGGGGGCCGAAAATTTTTAAGGATACTATTCTCCCATTCTTTCTTGTGCAGGGGGGGTCCATCCATGTCAAATCGCCCTCCGAGAACGAACAATTTATTCGGGGGATTTTTTGCCGGACAACATATATGCGTATCACAGCTTCACGTTTTGCTCGCCATGTTCCGTGAAATATTGCTGGAAGCATCCGAATAAATGAGTGTGCCCCTTGGCATAGAACCGTGATGGAAAAAAGTGAGGACACTTATTGCCAAAAGTGTCTATAAGTGTCACATGGCTATTGTCACGTATTCGAGGCCGCTAAAAAAACTTAGTAGCTTCATGTTACGAAAGAGGATCCGTAAAACGTTTCGCCATTTCGCACGCAAAACACTGGTATGTTTCGCTCAATAATTGATATACATATGCGCCTCGTACTCCAGGATCTGCCTTTCCTAAGCTTTCTCTTCTTATTTCTTTTCATGGAATTGTATATCTCTTATAGCCGCAAGCCTCTGACTGAAGGGTAGTGCTACCATAGTCCCCAGATACTTCCAACTTTTAGCTTCCGACGCTACGTTTGAGAATGGTGTGTACAGGGTGTTCTCGTGCGCTATTCCGCCGTAAAAACAGAAAAAAATCCGCATAAGTAAGCCAATAAACGAAAGTCAATCGATCGCTTCACAAAAGTGTGTTTATAGGTAGAGCATTCATACCCCAATTTCAAGAATGTAAAAATATTCTGCAAAAGAAATGCAAGAAAAGAAAAACGAAGGATTCCTATGCACGGGGGAAAATCGGAACCAAACCCTATTGTTGAAGGTACAGCTCATAAATGGCATCATTCGGAACGAAATATTTAAATATTTTTCGAGACGAACATTTTAAAGCACATCCAGCAGATCCGAGGGTGCGCGGTACTATCTGGGAATATATAGCAGTATCAAACAGACAGGTGTTTTTCTTTTTCTTTTTCGTTTTTATTCTTGTGCAGAGGATTAACGTGTTTTTTTCTTCTTCGCATTATTTTCTTAAGCACACACTCACAAAATTTGAGCATGATGATGGTACCACTCAAAGACACCTTCGTAATACGTTTCATGGCACTCTGTTCGTTAACTTATTCATATAACGCTATTTTTTTTTTTTACGGCTGAATAGCTTTTTTTTAACACCCCGTAGATACACAACGTACTTTCAGTAATATTTGCTCACGTTTTGTTCTTGCTGTTGTTAATACATTTTGGTATTGTTACCTCGAATATAGGTACTAAGAAACACTGGAGTTTAGTTTTCCCAGCCTCCACAATCGTCTATAAATAAGTGTAGAATAGCCGCACGACTGATGTCTATATCAGGAACGGGCGCATTGAAAGGGGCGGCAAAGAATACTCGTTCCTCATTGTTCCAGACAACGGCCACAAATGACCAATTTGGTTTGTTCCTCTGGCTTAGGAGCAAGCTGTTCGAATAAATCTTGCGTGAGAGTGAACGCGCTCTAGTCTTCCCAAGAACAAAGAACGTGTCGGCAGCGGAACACAATATTCAGATCGATGAGTGAAAACAAATATGCATGTCAAAGGAGCGAAATACCCACCCCCCAAACCGCATCGAGTTAAGAAAAAAACTTAACAACAAAAATAAACCAAACTATACGAACCCAACTGTTTGAACTGGTATTAAAACGCGCAAAACAGACATAAACAAAATAAAGAAATATACAACACGGACAAAATAAAGAAACATACAACACGGACGGGCGCTGCTGTGTCTTTACTTCGCCCATGTTTTTTTTTTCCGCTTTTTAAATCGTTTGATTATAAACCATCTAACTCAATTAAACATTTTAAGCTATATTGTTATCTCGCCTAAGATGATGTGACGGGCTAGTTGGTTATTCAATATGACTACACAAATAAAGGCAGCGCTAAAGACGAGGACAAGTAGAAGACACAGACACGAACAAGTGCTTGTCCGTGTCTGTGCCTTCTGGTCGTCCTCGTCACTTTAGCGCTACCTGTAATTGTGTTATGTTATTTCGCCGTTGGCGGATATTATATTTGCATAGCTATTTATCTCCAAATGGAAACACACCACGCTAAAAATCTATTCCATAAATGCATACACACGCTTAACGACACAAACATTAAGCATGTGTTTAACGTCTGTCTGTAGACATGTGGACGGAATCGTCCTATAAGTGCATAGTTGGCTCAAGGCGGTGTCGGAACCCAACTATTTGCAATGTGTCAAAACCTACACGTAAATTTAGATTCTAATTTTTTTAGGTTAATTTTTTTTGCCGCCTACTGTAAATCCTGGGTTATCCATCATACAAAAAACAGTCTGGATACAGATTCAAACGCGAGACACCGCGAGATCCGTGCTTCGAACGCCGTGTGGCAATAAGCTCAAGGAGAAACTTGGCACGCGGCATTCGTAGCACGGATATTGAGGTGACTCGTGTTTGAAGACTGTCTTTTTGTATGGTGCATGAACAGTGTGACCCCGGGGGCTGGTGGCCACGTTGGAAAACTTTGTGTCTTCTTTTGCCGCAGTCTCCCAGACACATCCGAAATAAAAATATTATATCATATAGATGCTTAGCACAGGCCTGACTATGAGTTTCCACGAGGTTTGAACATCATAGGGCTCGTACCAAAGAACAATGACCAGCTAATGCTACATACCACATAACTGTGAGCTTTGCGCATACACTCGCGGACACGTCCAAAAAAACTGACGTAATAAAAAAAAAATATCGTTAATCATTTTTATTTTATTTTTTTATAAATGGTCTGTAAGGGTTCTGGGAAAGACGGCTGGTTTCTCGATCGGCCGGGCGACGGTCGTCTTGTCCGGCGGCGTGTATGATGCTCCCTCCCCGGCTGTTTTGTGTAGTTTTATTTTTCTAAAGGGAGACCGCGTGGGCCTTTCTGCCGACGCGGCCCCCCTGGAGAGCGTCTTCCTGTGTCTCCCCCTTCGGGATGACCCCTCGGGAAGAGATGTTGTTTTTTCTTTTGAATCTGGAGGCTTGCGCATTCTACGGGGCTTCTTGGGTTTCAACCTGGGGGTTCCGGAGAGGCGCCGCTATGTCTGCAACGGGATGCACGGACGAAGTTACGGAGCTGTCGGCTGTAGTCCGTTGGCAAAATAACGAATGTGTATCGACGCCCTTGCCAACTATTGGACGGTGGATATCACGTGGCTCCAGCAAAACTTTGAAATGATTGGTTGATCCTCGCCCGAGAGTGAGGGGGTCAGCGTCTTCAAAAGTCCGTGACGGAGGAGAGAGAAGCCCTTTCTGGCTTGGACATGGACTAATTTGGAGGACGGCGAATTCCCTTTGCTTTGTATATACTGTGTACAATAGCTCGTCACGTCTAAATAAACAGTTTAGACGAAGTCCTCCCGCATCTGTCGCACTCTTCTGATCACCCACCGAACAAGGCTCATCAAACGATTGGCCCCGCAAGACACCGCCGGGCAGTCATCATCTATACAACCAAGGGACGAACCTTTACTGGCGCAGCTCGACAGCGATGAGCGAGCCTCGGTGACGATCGGAGGATCAAGAAGGCGACAGAGGTGGTCCAGCTGAAGCTTCCTGGCTGGCCAGGTGCTTGAACGGAGCGACCTACGGAATCCGTCGACAAGCAGCGCTGAGCGTCAGGGAGCGGTACTGCCGAAGCGGCCTTCTCCGGTGGAAAGCGGCGCATGCGGCACATCGACGGAGAGAAAACCACCTGGGTCATCGGACAGCAACGCTGAACGACCGGTGGCTGAAACCAGGGACCTCGAGGGTCAGGAGTTCCGACGCCGAGGCCAAGGACGACTACTGAGGACGCAATATCCGGGCTCTGGGCGTCAAACTGCAGCAACGTTTGCGCCGGGTGAGTGGGATTTCTTGCGTCGGGTCGAGGTTGGCATGGCTGGTAGTTGGCGGGACTTATGGTTTTGACGCGTCAGATGCTGGCCGACATGGAGAACGGGTTAAATGGAGAGAACTCGCAGGGGACAGGAGCCTCTGGTCAGGGGCAGGAGGCGCCACAGGGTGCGACAGAAAAGGAATCGGAGGCGGTCACAATTCGAAGGCTCGAACTAGAATTTGAGTTGCGGAAAGCGCAACTTCAGATTGAGTCCGAAGAGCGGATCGCGTTGCGCATGGCACAACTAGGAAAAGAAAGTGGTCGACCTTCCTCCTCTGGGTCGGAAACAGACGACCAACGGCACGCAGGCTTAGACCCGGTTGCGCAATGCGCAAAAGTTTTGAAAGGGTACAGCCTGCCATGTGACGCGGACGTTCCTCTATGGTTTGATGAGGTGGAAAAATTGTTTACCACGTACCAGGTGCCGGATAGTGGTCGAGTACATTTGATTATGCCGGTGCTAACGGAGCGTGTCCGCTACCTGCTGCGCAGTCTAGGGCAAGACGATTGTTTAGATTACGAGTCGGTAAAACGGGCGGTGCTGAGCGAACTGAAACTCACGCCAGCTGAGTACCTAGACAGGTTCGACAGTGCAGCCAAAAGAAAAGATGAAACATGGGCTCAGTTCGCCTCCCGTGTCCGAACCTACTTCACGTATTACCTTCAGGTGAGAGGTGCGGACACGCAGGAGACAGTAGCGGAGCTCATGGTTGCTGATCGGATTAAGGCGAGCCTGAGTACCGATGGTCTGGAGTATGTTCGCCTTCGCGAGGGAGAGACTTGGTTAAAACCGGTCGAGGTGGCGAGGGTGTTACAGACTTATGAGCAGGCAAAAGGGAAAGGGAGCGCCACAAGACAGGTGTACGTTCCGACAGAACAGTCAGGGACGGGGCGCTCGCCAGGGTTCAAAGGTCCCGTGAACTCGGGTCGAGCAGCTGTAAGGTGTCATGTATGTCATGAGCAGGGACACATTGCCAAGCACTGCCCTCGCGCTTCGGGTAGTGAGGTGCCTCAGGGGCTGGCAAATGTTCCTGAACCGAAAGGGCAGACAGACAGAGTGTTAACCGCTCGGGTTGAGGTGAGGCGGTCGATTTCGGAGACGGGCCGCTCGAAGCTACAATTGGTTCAACTGGAGTGCGGCGACGTACACACCGAAGCAGTGCTCGACACGGGTACCGAAATGACGGTAGTACGGGAGAGCCTGCTACCTCAAGCTTTGAGGGAACCGTCGGGCACAGTGAAGCTAGTGTCCGCTTTTGGCCACGCCATTGATGCCAATCTTGCAACACTTCCAATAAGGTTGAGCTGTCCAGGGGCGGTAGAAAATTCAACTAAAGCCGACTTAGTGTGCGCGCTCACCAATCAGCTGGCGGAAGGGGTGAACTGTTTGCTTGCCTGGGAAGATTGGGAACTGTTGAAAGCTAGGAGCGGTAAGGTCCAGGTGCAACAGGGATGTACAGCGGCCTATCCTTGTGAAGTTGAACAGAACGTAGGAAGAGATGAAGACAGCGAAGCACTGACTTGTGGGGTTGGCTAGGTAGGCCTCGGCCCTTCAGCGTTACAATGTAACAGTCCAGCATGGGAGGGGAACCAGTAACGGAAATACTGACGCGTAGTGTGGGCTCAACAATTTATGTTGGGAGTCGACTGAGTGATCATGCCATGCCGCCTCGGTTAGACGTGAATGTTCCCCTCACCCGTGCCGCAGGGCGCTGTGGGGCTGTGAAGTGAATGGGCGAGTTGAACTTGGGGACCCAAAAGGACGTTTTTCTCGTTGCTTTTGTGAATACGTTCAATGCGAATGTTACGCTGTTTTCCTCTTTGTGTGTGTGTTATTTTTCAGCCTTTGGGATGTCGCGCACGCGTTTTGGCCCCTTTCTATGTTTGCACTGGGACATTCCGGTTTGTTAAAGTAGAATCTGTTGTCTTTATGTGTTTTGTTTTATTGTCAGCTTACGATTATGTTTGCACGCTTTGAGTCGGTTCTGAAGAACGTCACGTTAGTGTTATCTAGTTTTATTTCTTTTGCGTGTGTTTAGATTAACTGTTTAGCAGGTCCAAGAAGGACCAGAAACAGTCTTGGGGGGAAGGTGTAAGGGTTCTGGGAAAGACGGCTGGTTTCTCGATCGGCCGGGCGACGGTCGTCTTGTCCGGCGGCGTGTATGATGCTCCCTCCCCGGCTGTTTTGTGTAGTTTTATTTTTCTAAAGGGAGACCGCGTGGGCCTTTCTGCCGACGCGGCCCCCCTGGAGAGCGTCTTCCTGTGTCTCCCCCTTCGGGATGACCCCTCGGGAAGAGATGTTGTTTTTTCTTTTGAATCTGGAGGCTTGCGCATTCTACGGGGCTTCTTGGGTTTCAACCTGGGGGTTCCGGAGAGGCGCCGCTATGTCTGCAACGGGATGCACGGACGAAGTTACGGAGCTGTCGGCTGTAGTCCGTTGGCAAAATAACGAATGTGTATCGACGCCCTTGCCAACTATTGGACGGTGGATATCACGTGGCTCCAGCAAAACTTTGAAATGATTGGTTGATCCTCGCCCGAGAGTGAGGGGGTCAGCGTCTTCAAAAGTCCGTGACGGAGGAGAGAGAAGCCCTTTCTGGCTTGGACATGGACTAATTTGGAGGACGGCGAATTCCCTTTGCTTTGTATATACTGTGTACAATAGCTCGTCACGTCTAAATAAACAGTTTAGACGAAGTCCTCCCGCATCTGTCGCACTCTTCTGATCACCCACCGAACAAGGCTCATCAAACGATTGGCCCCGCAAGACACCGCCGGGCAGTCATCATCTATACAACCAAGGGACGAACCTTTACTGTCGATGTGCTGCTGAGGAGGGTCAGATTCGATATTGTTTCTTTGCAGATTCAATGGGGACGTGAAATACATCGGACGCACAAGGCTGCAGTTGCGCGAGACAAAAGTCTCGACAAACAGCCAGAGCTTGTCTGGTCGGACTAAAGCCCAGCGCTCGTTTCCTGCGCTTACTTCATCAAAACAACATGCGAGCCCGCGAAGCTCGACACCCATTCTCCGTCACACTCGTCGTATACGTCATGCAAAAGACGCGCTATTCGCTGCGCATATGACAGAGGTATCTGCGGACACCTCTCACGCATGTCGTAGGCGTGTTTACTTCCAACATGCCTGCAGACAGTTTTTGTGCGGACTATCGTACAAGGAAGACGCGCTCCTCAGTAAGTGTTTGCAGACTGCCCTAGCAATGGGACTTTAGGGAACGTGGTACAGCACGCGGTCTTCCGGTGGCATCGTCGCTTAATCTGGGGCCCTTTCCGAGCAACGTTGAAATCGGCAAACGTATTAGACAAGGAGCTCCGGAGAATGCATCCTTTTTCGCGCTACCTAGCTTAATTCCCCAATTATAGTGAGCAGGGGCCTGTCCTCCTATTCTTAACCCGCGAGAGACTATACTGAACAATTATATTTTGTCCGATTAGCTGTGTGGAACGTGGATGGCAGTGGTACCATCTACGAAGTGCTCTACCTAATATCACGAAGCTTCGTTCATATACTCAAATTTTCTTCTTTATATGATGCTTGAATACGAGCTTGTTGGAGACCAACAAAGGGTAACAAGGTTCCAATCCTTTATTTTCGAGTGTGTGTGTATGTGTGCACATGTGCGTGTGCGTTCGCGGGGAAGGTGATATTTTTTTAAAGTGAAGTTTTGGCACTCGTGCTGCGCATGCGCGCAACTCTTGCCAAAAAATCATGAGCCATTCCACTCTTGGAAGGTGGATGACCAGCGAAACTGTTTAGCACACGACAGAGACGTGACACAGAATTTAGCGTATGCTCCATTAAAGTTGGCCAATTTAACAGCATGGTACCTGCGTCTTTTTGACGCGTTCTTCGCCCCGTGACGTTCGTCGTCTTGTCTGGTTTGCCGCATGCGCTTGGCGTTTTGTGCACAATCTTCATCGGTGCTGTTTGCCGCCCGCCGCCGCCGCTGACATTCTCGGTGCCGTTCCCGCCGTTGCTCTTCGTAGGCGCGTTGCTTTACGGGAGTCCGGACCATACGCGGCCTCCCCATTACGACGAGAGAAGTGAAATAGGCCTGTTGCTGAATTACCCAAGCATCAAGGAGAATGCAGGGAATGGTGTTCCACGTGCCGCACGTGCCGGCGTCTGCAGCAGTAACTGGTCTCAAGCAAAAGCCTAAAACAAATGGCATCTTGCACGTGCGTTCGCCAACGCTTTATTTTGGTTATTTACTTCGAATATTTTATACGGGGACGGCGCGCGCGTGCGGCGCGTGCGGCGGTGTGAGCGAAGAGTTTTTGGTCACGAAAAATCCACGGAACCCTAGCCCAAAGCCTCCTCTTATATTCCCGAAGCCTGGCAGTTCGACGACGGAGCCATAGAGTGCCCGGTCGCAGATTTGGAGAGCGAGGCTCCGGCAGCACAGAGCATCAAAGAACCATTTCTTGGGGAACCTGGACGTCAGCGCACAGTTTTTGCAGTGGCGAGGACCCGGAACACACTTGTTCGCTCGGGAGAAGTGTGTTTCGGCGTCTTGCCGCAGCGGGGCGCCAGTCACGTGGATCTCCTCTCATCCGTTGTCCGCCGCTCCACCTTTTCCATTTCGGCGGCCGCTTCTCGTGGCGATCTGCTTTTGTCAGTATATAGGAGACAATCCCTAGCTTTAAACAGCGTAGCTCTAAAATCTTCCGAACTGGCAATTTCTGAAAATGACGGGTTCTGCACGAAAAGACATCCTCAGTGCCCCCCCCCAACGCAAGATATTCTTTCTGTGCAGCATCTCCGCTTCTGACTGTGTTATGGAGCGCGATCCGAAAACTTCGATATGCGAGCGTAGTTTAATATGCGAAAATTTCGCCATACACAATAAACTCATGCTGCTATAACGACACGCCCCCTGAAAGCAAGTACAGATGTTCAGAAAGCGACTTCTACGATTTCCTGCCTATCTCTGTCAAACTCGCTTCAACGCTTCGAGCTTCGTCGCCCCACTTTTCAGGCGAATTACGCTTTACCGGTGACATCGCGCCCCACCCTCTTTCTCTAGAGTATATATCTCGGGACACACGCACGAACAGTCATACCCCTCTTGCGCGTTGCAAAAAGAAAAAGAAAACATACCAGAAGGAATGCAAAAAAAGAAAAACGTTTCACAGCATCGTTCCCTCGCGCACGCAAACGAGAGAAAAAAAGAAATACTTAACGAGACGAAATAGGCGAATAAAAAAGACACGCACAGCCAGAAAAACCTCTCCAACGACCGCCTAATCTTTCTTCCTGCGCCTCTCTTCGGACCAGTTCCCCTGCAGCGCGCGCGCGTACCTGCGCCGGACCCCAGGACACGCAACGTCCAACGTCCTTGGGGTCTCGGCCAAGCATGACAGATCGCTGATGTGTCTGCCCCCCTCCCCACACTCCACCTGTCTTTCCTCCCTCTCCCCGTTTCTACCTCCCCACCATCTCCTTCCATCCCCACCGTCGACTGAAGTGCACTTTATTTTCTTATATTATTCTCTCATCGCCCCCCTCCGTCGGCTTGTTTAGTGCTCGCCCTGGTTCAGTTGCGGTTCCTGGCTCGCCTCACGTACCCACTAGACCAGAACAGCGTCGTCCGACAGTCCTATGCTTCGTTTCACCATGCGATGGACCGTAGGGGATGTCATACAAGCCATTCCACTGCCGTGTGCGGAGTGTCACAGACCCTCGGGGAAGCGGTGCAGTGACGCGCCGAGAGCGCAATCACGTGACACGTTAACGGCTTTGGATTGGCTGGAACGACTGGTTGTAGCCTCCGCTGCGGTTCATCATGACCTGAAGCGGAGCTTAGACGCGAAGACAGCACCACGTGGTGGCACCGTGGCAGCTTTGACTGTAAGGGGTCATTTTCGGCCTCTGCGTAGTTTCCGCAACTTTGCTCGACACCACCGCCAGAGTGTGCAGGAGTCGCATCTTCCTCGTTCGGGTCGCGCGTGATGATACGTGCTTTCTCGCTCTGTCTTTCCCTTGGCGGTCTTTAAACGTTCCCGATTGTCTTTGGGAAGGTCGCCGCGGCTCAGGCGGAGACAAGACTCCGCCCCACGCGCTATGTACAGTACACGCGGCGAAGACCCGCGGACTTCTATAATGGCTCCTTTCCGGAGAACTTAAGCTGGAACTAAACGGTGCCACTTCGCCGCAGCTCACCATTTTATGTCATTAGAAGTATCGTTATTGCTGCGTCTCTCAGGTGGTCTTCGCGGACTAGTAATAGTTCCCTGCCGCGCGTAATAAGGGTGAACTGCGTTGTAAGATCCCGACGCGACGGAGACAGGAAACTGGTGAGTGAGCCGAGAGGGCAACCGAACAACTATAAAGGAATGATGGTGTCCGGTTGTAGTGACGTGCTGCATAAAGCGGAGGAACGTCAGGACGAAGACCTGTCTGAGATCCGACCGTTCGCTAAACCTTTTAAAATGCCAAGAAACTATTCGAAGTGCGTTGCTCTGATCTCTAAAGCCGGGGTCACAGTGCCCACACATCGCACAAGAGACAGTCTGCAAACACGAATCACCGCAATATCCGTGGTTCGAATGCCGCGTGCCAAGTTTTTTCCTTGAAATCATTGTCATGCGGCATACGAAGCACGGATCCCGCAGTGACTCGTGTTTGCAGAATGTCTTTTGTACGATGTATGAGCAGTGGGATCCCGGCTTCGCAGGAGAAATTTGACAATCTTCTAGCTCTT